CACCATCATCATCATTTCTATCACACACGCACATCATCTTCACCATCATGACTCCAACTCTTACTCTACACTAACATTTATTGTTACTAGAATTACTTTTAACCGCGATAGTGTTATTGTTGTTGTTGTTGTCGTCGTTGTTACTGGCATCATCGCCACATATGGATGGCAGTTTAACGTTGTTGATGTTAGACGTCAATGAGGAAGATGATGATGAGGGGGATGACGACGACGAGGATGGTGACGTAATCGACGGGAGGAGGGGAGGGAGGGCGTCTTCTAAGAGTTGCATGTAAAAGTGGTTCTCTTTCTGAACCTCTTTCTGCTTCCTCTGTTAGTGGTGATGACGACGATGATGGCGATGATGACGACGATGATGGCGATGGTAACAGTGGAAATAGTGTTTGTTGCTAACGACGTTGATGATAATAATAATATAAATAATAATAATAAGAATAATGATTATTTGGCGAGGATATGGCGATAAAGATCCTGCCAGTGACCGGGTTTGACTACAGGATGACTAACGATGGCATGAACAACATGAATCATAATTGGACAATAATTTATTACTATTATAATTATTACTATTATAATTATTACTATTATAATTATTACTATTATAATTATTACTATCATTATTATTGCAACTCAACTTAAACATGTAACTTTAAGGATTATGGTTGTGTTTTTAAAATTTGGTTTTAATGAATATTTTAATTTTGATAGACTTATCTTTATAACTTTAAATTCTCTTAATGCTGGGGGCACATTGCTTTAAGGATTTCAGGTATGTTAACAGATACACCTGGCACTGCACAGCTGTACATTCAGACTAAAATTTATCACGTAACAGTAACATTAATATTTCTCCAAATCTACAGTCAAACAATAATAATGTATTACAGTATAATTCAAGTAACTTGTTGACTTGTTGTTGAGGTAAAGCTTACAAAGAAAGGCCGGAAAGGACTAAGAATGCATCAGAGATCTTGTAAATCGTATAAATCTCTCAAGTCCACAACTCATGAAGTTGAAGAAAACGTCAGCGACGACACCGGTCAAGCGTCATTTCAATTCAACACACGTCACCAACTTCAACAACAACAAAACCGCTACCGGGAATAAAACCGCCAAAATCGTCAGCTCAGTGGTCCAAAGCCAACGCATTTTTTCAATCAGAATTAAAATGTTTAGACGATGCCACAGATGTCGACAGTTTCGCTAACGGGTTTCAAAATATAACCTACAACTATTTTGCTGCCAATTGTGGCGTCATAAGGAAGGGATCAATACCTGACGAACACACAAATCGAGATATTCGACATTTAAAAACAAAATTGAAAAACTTGAAGAAACTGACTCAAACAGCCAACTCAACAAGCACTGAGCAAACAAATTATAGCCAAATTAAAAATTAATGACGTGTTTAAAATGACAACAACATTTCATCTCAACTAATGAAAATTTTTTGGAAAACATGCAACAACATTTTTTCAAGTTCGGCATCTCAACCTCAACTTTTCAACAGAGAAACAGCCACCAACTTTTTCAATGGCCAATCTCTTTTAATGGTGAATTGATAAACTCTGTTATAAGGTTAGCGTATGGGATTTATTGTGACAGAAACGATCAATAACGCTAATTTAAATATATTGTACAGCTCTGCAGCACTTGCCACTCCAGTGAGCAAAGTAGTCCAACTCTGAACATTGCCCTATTAACTTATTGAATTATTTTAACTCTTTCATTATAATTTTCAATGTATGTTTTATTGGAAAATTTATTGGAAAATAAAAGGAGGTTCCCATTATTATTATTATTATTATTATTACTATTACTATTATTATTATTACTATTATTATACATAACCGATTTTTTTTCTTTTTATTTTGCTTTGATTTATCTTATTTTCATTTCATTTCATTGTATGTTTATTTTACTTTTGAAAAATAAAAAGAGTTCCCATTATTATTAATATTAATATTATTATAATTACTACATATACTAGAAAAAATACTAACCAGTCGAAATCTATATGAAATACTGCCCCTTATACTGAAACCCATTGTTATTACTGGGTAACCAACACTGCAAAGTATTTCAATTAATCACTTAAATATTATACTTATTTATAAATTTATTATACATATTCATTTATTTATTAAGAATACTAAAATAATAAATAAATAAACAAATTAATGAACAAATTAATAAACAAATAAGTAAATAAATACAAAGTAGGGATAGATTATAAATAAAACCAATAACTACTAAATAATAAAGAGCATACAAAATGTACAAACAAACAACTGCATGATTAAACCACCATCTTTGCATAGAAACTGTAGCCTAGCCTAACCAAAAGTCAACTGATATCTGGAGTAGACTGTGATAATTGTGGACAGATGAATGGACCAATGCTTGGCCACATAGTAAATGCTTGCTCGTTTTTTTCATGACCTTTCATTTTGTTCACTTCTATCATCTTTTCCAGATTTAACAACACATTTCCACATTTAATTACACGCGCTGACAGCATAAACTACATACATTTGGGCAGCGAGATGGTGGTGTAGGGGCAAGATGGTACCGCTATTGCGGTGACAGGATTCGATTTTAAATAGATCCTCGTAGATCCGCCACTGCAGACAGTAACACACCTACAGTAACACGCGGAAAGAAATTATTAATTTGAACTGTTCAGCAGGCAGACAGCAAGATGTCCCCAATGACAACAATCCATTGCACAAACGTCACAAGCAACATCAACATCAGGCTGCAGAACTGGAGATGAGGCTACCAACTCACCATGATTGAAAACAGGCAAACAGTTAAATAAAAAACAGCAAATGAACAATAAGGTTGAAAACATGCAAAAAAAACCAATAAAAAAATAAATAAATCATATAAATAAACAGTCAAATAAAAGACAACAGATGAAGAAAAAATTGAAAACAGGCAAACAGATAAACAAAAAGATTGAAAACAAGCAAACAAACGAACAAACAAACAAACCAATGAGCAGCGAAGGGTCTACAGAGATCCATGGAGAAGGACAGGTTTTTGAGTTCTTTCAGTCGAACAACTGCCTCAACATACAGGAACAGTAGCCACAAAAGGGCGGTGGGCAGACATACCCCTCTTTCTGTTAGAGGTGTGAATGCATGTGTGTGTGTGTGTGTGTGTGTGTATTTACGTGTATGTGTGTGTGAAGTGTGTGTGTGGAGTATGTATTTATTGCATTTGTTTGTTTGTGTGTGTGTGTGTATGTGGAGTATGTGGTGTGTGTGTTGTGCATGTGTGTGCCTAGAAGTGATGATAAAATAGCCCACAACTATGTGGTTATTGCTGTATAACTATTTATATTTAATTATATTTTATTTATATAATGGTAGGAGTTGTGGTGAGGACATAACTTATCTCAAAATCAAAAAGATTAAATTAACAATTATAAAAAAAATATATAATCACAAAAAAATAAGACACACAATGAACTAATGAAAAACAAGACCACACAGCCAGACAGCCAGCTAGAGAGACAGACACAATAGCCAGCTACCAACTAACCAACCTGTCTGCCAGACGTACTGTACCCAGACGTATGTGCTGGCGGTAAAGAAGAGGAACTGCACTGGTATGAATAAGTAGCAGACGACGTCTGATGTAATCGTTATGCACAAGAAAAACATCGAAAATGCCTTGGTGAAAAAGAGATATAAACTTTTAAATTAAATTAAAGATTTAAATTTACTTAATAATTTCATTATATAATATTAATAATAATAAATTTAAAATTAAATAATAAATTGATAACTATTTAAAATTTTGAAGTAAAAAAATTTTAGTGACACAAGGATTGACAACTATTTCCAATTAATAATATAATTATATTTATATAACGTAAATATTTATAATATTTATATTATAATTAATTAAATAATTTTTATTTAATATAATTGTCAAAATAAATGCTAAAACATCTAATTAAGACAAAAAATCATTTTTGACAATTTTAATTTTATAAAATCGTTAAAATTAAAGAATGTTGAAAAAGTTTCAATGAAGGAGCATTAAAATTGATGCCTTCATTTTTTATATTTTTTTATTATTTTTACTATTTAATGATAATTAATTAATTAATTGATTAATTAATCAATTAATAATTTTATCCCATTATTTTAACTAAATATTAATTATTAGCAATATGTTATTATAAAGTAATAAAAAATTATTTACTCTAATAATGAGTCAAAAATTTTAAAGATGAATAAATATAATTTATTTACTAATAGACCTTAAAACATTAGCATAATTTTAAATAAGATAGCTCAGGTAGTATGGTTGTTGCCATCATAGAAAATAGTTTCATAGAGACATGGTTCAAACACAAAAAAAACCATACCCATTACATTTCAAAATGGGTGTACTATTTGCAATATTTGGCCATGGTGTATGGATATGTTTAGTGAACTTATGAAAATAAGACTAAGTAAAAAAGACACTATATAAGTCTGGAATTTTAATTGTAAATTATTAGATTTTTCAGTAACTAAAGAACAAAGATGGTGTTAATATTTAAATCTGAGGTAACTTAAATGTTGAGAATAATTTTATAAGATAGATATCAGACAGCAACTTATTTACTAAGTAAAAACTATATATTTTATACTTTTATAATATAGTTAAGTATAAATAAATAAATGACTATTATCAATTGTCAATAAGTATTGACTCTTAGATACTTGCCAACTTCTAGATTTTAATATCTTTGCTTTTTATTATCTGAAAAATTAAATAAAGAAATGAAAACAGACACTGACAAGTCCTTGGTACTTGAAGGAGTCGTAGAAACTTCTCAGCAGCAACCAAAATGGCCAGAGGTACTCAAAACGAAATTCAATGAAAAAGTCAACCATCAAAATTAGGGCCCAGACTGTAAGTATCTTCATGTACGTGGCAATGCTGTTTAAGTGTTTGTTTAATTACAAAATAAGGCAGTTATTTAAAATTTAAAAGTATCAGCAAAATTTGGAAATGGAAAACAGATTAAGAAAAAACAGAGAGTTGAGAGGTGACACGTCGTCGTGACATCAATTAAAAGGTTAGAAGTTTGATGAGTAAGTTAGCGCCCCCCAGTTTCAGAGTTTTTGTTACCTCTGGTAGATGCCGTCTGCCACTCTCGTCCTCTGCTGTTTCAATGGTGGCCGTCTTAATTTTGATAAATCGACATTTCGTCTCTTCATAATTATTTATTTCGCCAAATAGTTTTAAAACTCGCTTGAATATTAAATTCTAAAATAAGTTATTGAACTTTTGATAATAAAACATAAACAAATGATCGGAATAAAATGACTGTAATAAATAAATAAATGTTTAATTTTATTTATTTATAATAATATTTTATTTCTGATAAGTGTCTGTGATGTTTTATTTTTACGGCGATGCTCCAGAACTGCCACTGCATAATTTATTATTAAATTATTAATTATTAAATAATTAGTTTAATTAAATTTATAAATTTTTTACTGCACCGTTAAACAAGTTATTTAAATGAGCAGATACATCATTTATCAAAAAGACATATTTGTTTCAATTTCATAAGTTAATAACATGGATATATATAATTTATAATATCCATGGTTAATAATTATAATACCGACCGACTCGATATAATGAAATGACAGTATATAAATAATTTTTATTACAAATCAGCATCAATTAAAATGTACTTGTTTTTATTAATTAAAATTAAAAAAATTAATAATTATTTTAACGTTATAATAAATTACATTACATGTTTCCAAATTTTTAACTTTTAACAAAAGTCTAATAAATTCTACTCGAGGTTTGACGTGGTCAATTACTTTTAAAGCCATCCCTATTACGTATCCTAGCAGGCATTATTTTTCTCAAGATGGCTGGTTGGACCGGTTTGTTAATTTTGTTTGCGGCTGTGTCTGTTTTTCTGGATGGTGGAGTTGTCTTTGCGAAGGAAAATCAAAGAACGTTGGTCCTACTTGACAGTTTAACTATTAAGGAAACTCATTCCATCTTTTTTCAAACTTTGAAAGGTAAAAATTGGCTGATCAGATCAGCAGCAGATGACGTGTCAACTTCCGATTTAGATTTAATTTTAATTTGAATTTAAACGAGATTTTTACTAATTAAATTTCTCAACTAACAATCTTCAAAGTGTTTATTTTTTAATTTTCCAGACAGAGGTTTTGAATTGACATTCAAGGCTGCTGACGATGCTGGCTTGTCCTTGGTAAAATATGGAGAATATTTGTATGACAACCTAATTCTTTTTTCACCCTCTGTTGAAGGTTTGTTCCATTTATTCAATTGTTAATTTTTATTGAAATATTTGTACTTAGGTTTTTTATGAGTTTTGGCAATCATTTTTGAAACCAGAGTTTGGTGGGAACATTGATGTGCCAGCTATAAGCAGTTTCATAGATGGGGGTGGAAATGTTCTGGTTGCAGGCAGCTCACAAATTGGTGAAGCTATCCGTGATCTGGGCAGTGAATGTGGTGTTGAATTTGATGAAGAGAAGACATCAGTTATTGACCATTTGAACTATGATGTTTCTGATGATGGGAAGGTTTGTAGATATTTGTTTTTTTTATGTTGTAACAGTCTTTTTTTGCTTGAAGTTATATAATTAATCTAATTTTAACAAATTTTGTTGCTTTTTTTATTTCAGCACACTTTGATAGTTGCTGACCCTAAAAACCTCATTTCATCAAACATACTCATTGGCTCAAAGAAGATCAACCCCCTTCTGTTCAGAGGTGTTGGGTGGGTTAAATAACTTCTCATTGTAAATTGCTGACATTCTGATTTGTGTTGATGAGTTTAAGTACTTTGATTGATATAGATGGATGTATTTGCATATTTTTTTTTTCAACAAAAATTTCAATCTCTATTTTAAAATAAGCTTATGTTCTCAATTATATTTAAATCCTACATTGAAGATAAAAGAATTTATTTAAAAATAGTTGGATTGATTTTATTATATTTTTGACTACATTTTTCATGGTGTTTAGATTAATAATTGATTTGTTATTAAATTGAAGCTTTTATTTCATGCATTGCATCATTATGTGTCTAAATTTATTTTCATTCTCGTATGTAAACATAAATGAATGATCATTTATTACCTGGAAATTTATAAAACCCATTCTGTTTCCAAGATTATTAACTTATGTATAGAGATTTTTCTCTTTACTTTTGAACATAAATGCACATACATGTACAGAATAACGGCTGATAATGAGAATCCTCTTGTGCTTGACATCCTCCATGCTTCATGGACAGCCTACTCCTTCAATCCAAACCAGAAGATCTCAGACTACCCACATGCAGTTGGTCAGAACACCTTGCTCATTGCCGGTCTCCAGGCCAGGAACAATGCCCGTGTTCTCTTTTTTGGTTCACTTGATTTCTTCAGTGACGAGTTCTTTGGCTCCTCCGTGCAGAACGCTGCTGTCCCAGGCTCTCAGAAGTGAGTGTGGGTTTGATCTCGTTATGGTGATGTTGATGTGGATGATTAATTAGGGTTGAGGATAATGCTGCTAATGATGATTAACTAGTCAGTTTAGTGCTATATGAGTTTTTGTGATAATTTTATTATCACCATCGTTTAATTTTTATTGTGTTGTGTCTGCAGGTCTGTTTTTGTTATCACGTTATTGCTATTCAATGATAATGATGATTGAAGGTATGCAGTGTCGGGTAACAAGGACCTAGCCATAACATTGACCCAGTGGCTGTTTAAGGAGAAGGGGGTGCTGAGGGTGGGTGAGGTGAAGCACCACAAGGTCGGAGAGAAGGAGCCACCACATGCATACACCATCTTGGATGATGTGGTGAGTGAGTGAATGAGTGTGTGGGTGTTAATTTATATGCTATTGTGTGATGATAATGTTATGATGATGACAATAATATTAAATAATGATGGTTGTACAATTTGGACGGGGAAGATGGTGACTGCATGATGGTGATGATTGTTGAAATTTATTCCAGGAGTACTCATTGGTCATCGAGAAGATTCTAGATGGCAAGTGGGTGCCATTTGAAGCCGATGATGTTCAACTGGAGTTTGTGCGCATTGACCCATTTGTTAGGACCACGTTGAAGGGAAAGAGTTAGTGTTAATGTTATAAAGTTGCCATGCGATGTGCTGTTATGTTGTCATGTCATGTCATAATGTGATTTGATGCTATATTATGTGATGTTATAATGTTATGTGATGTTATAATATTAGTATGACTTGAAGCAATATGATGTAATGTGGTACTGTTACAAAGATAATGACTTTTATGAAGTAATACTGACAGTTTTTGAAATTCTTTCTGATTTTTTTTTACAGTTTCAAAAAGTTAATTTAAAATTTATTTGAATAAATTAACTTAAAAAATGAACCTAAAACTAGATGGCGTGTTTAGCACAAGATTCAAACTTCCGGACGTCTATGGAGTCTACCAGTTTCGAGTTGATTACAATCGCATCGCGTACACGCACCTCTTCAGCGCCACCCAGGTCTCTGTGCGACCGCTGGAGCACACGCAGTACGAGAGGTTCATCGCATCCGCCTACCCTTACTATGCCAGTGCTTTCTCCATGATGTTCGGAGTCTTCCTCTTCAGCTTCATATTCCTGCACTTCAGGGAGAAGGATAAATCTGAGTGATGGATAGTTCAGTTGCTGCGCTCTGCTGCTGTTGTGTGTGTGCGTGCGTGCGTGCGTGTGTGTGTCCACACATTATTGTTAGGATTGTTAAAGTTAGTTTTCTTGTTAAGTCGTTGAAGAAGGTGATGGTGCATGTTTGTTGGAGTTCTTGTTTTTTATTCATCCATGTTTTTATTTATGTCTTGATGTTGTTGAGCTCTATTTATACTGATGAATAAATAAAGTTATCAATCGGTCAAATGCCTTCTGTTTGATTTGATGATACGTAGTTTGTATTTTAGTGGGCTAAGTATCTAAGTGAGTAGTTGGGGGAGTGCTTGATGTTTTGAGAGAGTTCATCTTCCAGATGATTGGGTAATTGTTTCTACTAATTGTGTACATTTATTTCGTGCATAATAAGTCTAATGTCAGGTGGGTGGAAATGTATTATTAGGAAATTATTTTAAGCTGACATAAGGGAGTGGGAGGTGTAATTCAGGCAGTTACCCGCGATCCGAAAAATTACGAGATAATGATTATAGCGAATAATGTGGAAAAATTGAAAATAACTTTGCAACGGATCGGCACGAGAATTATCTCGTGCCGCATGAGTTGCGCATTTTTTCACGCATCTAATCGTAACAGAACCGAAGTTAATCAGACGAGGATGTGGGCCAAGCTATTTGCAGCTGCTAATCCTGCAAACATTGATGGATGGAAATGAATTGTTTGCTAGGTCGTTCAACTGTATAACAGTCTAATTACAATGCTGGTGAACTGTGTCAGAGTTTATGAAACTCATTTTTATGTTAATTAGTTTGAAAATCATCAAGGCTTGCAATTTTTTTCATTCCGTTCTTCGTAAAAAGTACAAACAATCGCAACTGTTACTTGGATTTAGTCTTTGATTTCGAATGAAACTTGGAGCATGAGCAATGAAACGAACCAGAATTTGCATTTAAGGAAAACGGCGATGAGTGATTTATTCACACGAGGCCCGAGAACATTAATAAAAACGTATTAGCGAAACTAGTGCGGTGTGTTGTGTGTGTAGTACACCATATGCGTGTGTGGGTGTGTATTCATGATTTACATTTACCTACATGTAAAAACAAGCTTAGTTCCTAGAACATACACATTTATTACCATGATCATTTGATTCCTATTATTTTATCATTGTATTATCATGATTTTACTATCATGATTCTCATCACTTATCTTATCATTCTTGTTTTTAAAATGATCACCATCTGGTTGTTATTGCTTTTTGTCGAGTGTGATGGTGGCCTGGTGCCATTATTTAATGGTGGAAATTTCTTCCAGGCAAATCCGTTATTAGCAATCAGCTGGTAGATGGTTACATTTAGAATGTAGGGTTTTCTATCATCATTGACAAGGTTCAGATTAATGAATGTATGCATGAATGAATGAGTGAGTGAATGAATGAGTGAATGAATGAATGATTGAGTAAGTAAATGAATGATTTAATTAATTAATACTTTTTCAGTTGAATTGCTTACATTTGAACAAGTAAATAAATAAATTTGATAGGCAGATGATTAAGATAATAAATTATTACCGAAACGTCAACAACCAGGCCCTAGAAGAAAAGGCGTCAGATGGTTGTTTGGCAAGGGGCCTCCGAGTTTAAGGGCCTCCCTCAAAAACGGAGTTGGTTGGGCTTCTAAAATAACTTGAAATAAGTGGACGTTTTTGTCCTATTTACAGAATTTTTGAGAAATTTGGGAATTTTTTGCACGGCTGTCAAATGTTATCTGACTTGGGCCTATAGATAGATGGCTCTCACAGGTAAGCCCGGGTAATATAGCGTTGGCGGACATCACATACAACGTCATAAACAATAAAAAGAATGTGATTGATAAGAACAGTATGATGAGTTGTGATGAAATGGAAACCAATGATGATGACATTAAAATGATGTCAAATATGATGTTTATAACGACAATGATGATGATGGTTATGAAGATGATGGTGGTGAAGAAAAAGATGATTGCCTCGGATGATTGCCTGCAAACATCGTAGCAGCAAGCGTTCTACTAGCGAGTACGTACATGCATACGTTGTGCGTGCCTGTGTGTGCGCGTTGCAACCTGTTTTCCGTACGCTGTTTTGTGTATGTACAGTATATGTACAGTGTATGTGTGTGTATATATGTGGGTATGTGTACACACACATACACTCATATATATACATATAATATAAGTGTATGTATGTATGTACGTTCATGGGTGTCTGTGTATTCGTAATGCAAGTGTAATTATGTATGTATTTTGCAAACATTGTCTATTTTCTTACGCCACCATGGCAAATTTTATAATATGCTTCATGTAGTTTGTATTGTATTGTATGTATATGTAGTCTGTATTGTATGTATATGTATGCATTTGGTATTGTATTGTACGCATGCAGTTTGTATTGTATTGAATTGTATGTATGCAGTTTATTTTGCATATTAAACATTGTTTATGTATTATATGGATATAAAATTTGTATTATTAGTTTGTTGGCAATGTTGGGTTAGTTAAGGTTTGGTGTTTCTTGTAAAGAAGACTTCTTCACTTCTTGTCTTTCATAATGTCTTTTTATTCTTGTTCCTTTCCTCTCTCTCCCTCCCTTTCTTTCTCTTTTCTCTCTCTCTCTCTCTTTCTATCACTCTACCACTCTTTTTTTTATACATATCATACACA